GCAGCAAAACATAGAAGAAAATGTCGGATATGAGGTATAGAAAACTATTGACAGCCGGTAAATAACTTCAGCTAAGACATGTCCGAGGCGTCTTCCATTTTGCCAAAGGCTAACTTTTTATGACAGAGGATTTCGTTGCTTTCAAACTTTCACAGGGTTTTCCCCAGTACCTACGAATATATACCAAGCTCTTTTATATATTCGCGTTTATTCCCTTTATTAAATAATATGCAATAAGTTATTTTTCCCAATTCTTTCCCGTTAAACAGAACGTGTTCACATACTATTGCAACGTCTTCCATAATTTGGACATTGTAGACTCCTTATATTTAGGTAGAAAATATTAAAGGCCAGTCACAAGCCGGATGCATTTAGATTGTAAGGGAAAACTGCCACAACACACGCTCAAAACACACAGCGCTAAACCTATAAGTAGTGCAAAAGGCACTTTGACGGATTTTTCAGTTTCTCTTTTGAACCGGATTTTTAAAAACCCCAAGCTTAACACCCGTCGCTATAAGATACCTTTAGTGAAATTAATTAATTCATTTTACTGGAATATCCATATCAAGCAAGTTATTATTGCTAATGTAATTTCTTTCAGTATGGTTGCAATTGATAAGATATGCACACATGTTCTACTAGAATTATTAAGATTAATTTAATAAAATGATTCTTCTGTATACATCACCATGTAAGTAGTACAATTTCAACACTCAATAATTCACCCATAATTCTATTTTTATTATTTAATTACAACAAACTGCAAATATATGAGAGCAAATGTTATTTTTACTATACCAAACATAGTGAGACTGATAACTGAATATCGGTCCTTTTTTATAAGAGGCTTTGATTACAATTGTTCTGAGATATTCCATATCCTGTAGCGCTTTGCCAATAAACCAATAAAAAATCGAAATTTTTTTTTGAAGCTATTTGGCATAATACTATAAAGATCTTGTTGCGAAAATACTGAACGACAAAGAAAAGCCTCTACTATAAGCCAATCGCCGCACTCTTTAAAATTTCAAGGCATTCTATTAAAATGTTTTGTTTTAACACGTAGTTTCTGTCGGTATCGTCTGGACATCAACAGCAGCTTGCTCTACACAATTGACCATTTCTATGCAGGCCTAAGTGTTTTTTTATACAATCGGTTCTCTTCGTATTATTCCATTAATTTCACATTTTAAGGACAGTTTTATATTTGAACCGCACTGCAGGCTTATTGAAAAACAAAGATCTACTACTCAAATGGTTTATTTCACAGACTTCATTCAACTTATAAAATGGGGTTTCTCCGCACGCATGGAGGAACAATGCTTTGGACTCCATAATGTGCCTGATGATACGGCAATCTAAATGGAATAAAATGCAATGCTTCCTTTAAACAGTATGATGGATATATACATTTGTAATATGTAAAATTGAAGAAGATATACTGAGAGAGAAATGGGCTCATTTTGATTGTAGCACGCAAATTTGACGGCAAAACGTAGCTCTATTTACCGAAATATTAATTTAGAAATCAAAATTCTGTTCCCATATTGTGACTTTAAGACTGTCGACCCTCGTCGTCTTAAACGTGTTGTACTAGAGGCAAATATATACAATTCGCCTTGTGACGTACAAACTGTAATTACTTTTGTAAAATAGATTTTTTTCTATTAAGACACTAAGCTAGGAAAGTTTTCACTCTTTATGAAATTATATGTGATGTATAGAATTTTTGCATACTGAAAAGTTTATATGTCCAAAAGCACTTTCCACTGGCCGAAAAAATTCTGAAATTTCGTTTACTTCAAAACAGAAAATTACTAACAATACGTAAAAATATTCCAGCTAGGGCTATTTAAATTCCTTTATGAGCATTTTAATAGCAGGTTAGTACTTTTACATGAAAATACTTGCACATTAAGCGGTGAGCCAATCCGCGTCTCATGCTTAGCGCCTCCAGTAGAGCATTCTTCTCGGTCGCACATATCGAGCTCCTCCTCTGGCATTCCGCCAGGCCCTTAGTTCTTGCATAAGTCTTTCCAGTCGGTATTCATTTGCCAGTTCTTCAGCATCACCTTCAGAGGCACAATTTAAAATATTAATTTGGACTACCATCCGAGCCGGCAGCATAATCCTCCAACTCGCTCACAGGACCTCTTTTCCAGTAGAGCATGCGTTTTTGTTCCTCGGGACTTGCCTCCCTCGGTTTTTCGTCCTTGGAGGCTACCAGTCCGATAAAAAGAATGCATACATATAACATGACTGTCATTTTAAAAATCGTGGGGAATAACGCTGAAAGTATTTTCGACCATGGTTCTGGACCTTTATACATCCTGTCGGCGGACACCCATTGGTTCACCGCTTGTGGAATTATTTATAACCAATAAGCGGCAACGCAAGCCAACCTGTATTGGAGTAGTGAAATTTATATGCTAAGGAGATGCACGTACTTATAAATGACTAGGCGCATACTAGGCACATGCATATATTGAAGATTTTCATAATGCAGTTGATGACCCTACTCATACAATATGCCCAAATTTGCAAAAAATTGATAATCGCTCCCTTAGAATTCTACTTTGGGTCACAACTCAGTACGCAAAAGCCCCATTCTTCCGTAATACAGAAATAGGAGATATAAAGAGTATATCATCTGGACAATACAAAGGAAAGAATGCATTAATAAAAAGTAAAGTTTGTAAAAATGAAAAAAGCCAAATAATTATTAAAATGATCAAATGTCTATTAACAAGAATCACACCATAACTAAAATAAGCAATTATGTAATTATGTTGAAATAACTAAGTTACAGAAATAAATAACTAAAACTTAAATCGACTAACTAAGGATTTAAACTAAAGTAAGGTGAACACGCATAACTAACAATTATAGGAAACTAAAACAGACATAATAATGAACTGAAAAGTAAACTAAAAACTGAACCTAACTATAAATATGTTAAATAAAGCAAATAAAATAAACTAACGAAAAG